TTGGCAGTGCGTCACTCCCGGATAATCGAAAATGGGCAAAGAGGCGGGAGCAGGTTGCTGAAGCCACGCCCACCGAGCTCGACGGTGGTGACAGCAGCGGCAATCCACCTGTCACTCAAGTGGCCACGCCCTTAATTATGCAGAACTTTAAGGCTTAATATAATTTAAACGGATGAGTTATAAAAAAATTCACCCCCTCACAGTTGTCATGAAGGGCAAAATTAGCTATATAGACCAAAATAATTTTTTGAACCAGGATGTAAACGTTTTTTTCTGCTGTAAAGTTGGGCATTTTAACATGGGGGTCTATGGGATTGACTCCCTTTTGCAGCCCGCCTCTAGCGGCCAGTTGATGAATTACAGTTTAAGTCACTTCCGTGTTGGCTTCATGAGAGAGAGCAGGAGGTTGCCGCTTGGACATAAACTTAGAGAAGTTTGGAAGCTCCGGTTGGAATGTTCTTCCGCGGAATGTGTGCAGTTCTGGTTATTAACCGCTAGAGCGCCAAAAGTTACACAGTGCTGCTTTTAGACCCTCAAAGACTTTGGGTCTGGTGACTTCTTTACCGATGCGGGTTACACATCCTTTGCTGGTACGTATGATCCCTCAGAGCTGTACGGTGGGTCTCAGACTCTGGTGATGAGTTGAGGGCTGTGCACACAGGATTCTGAGTGAGTCAAGCTCTCATGAAGCATCATGGAATGGGATCCACAGTGTGGTCACTCGGGATCCTCCTGTTTGTAATACTTTGCCAGAAAACTCCAAAGAGACCAGACCTGTGCAAGATTACATCTGGACCAAAGATGGATTGTCACAAGGTGAGATCTACATTTCAACACAGAACAATTCTGCTTACTAGATAGAACAAAGCAACAAAAGGGCAGGACAAAGAACATCTGAGACTAATGGCTAAGTTAAAAGATGGTAGTTTGGATCATTTGACTGTTGATCAAAGAGATCAAGTGTGAAGTGTCTCTTTTTTTCTGACAAGTTGAATTTAAAACTTCTTGTATTTAAATTAAGCGCGGTTCACTGCTGCACACGTGCCACAATATCGATACAGGGACAGCTGTATCGATACTCGTATCGTCAAATCTCTGTGATGATACATCGTCGTATCGATGTATCGAACACAGCACTAGCTCTGAGGGACATGGAATACTTTAACCTGCAGTTACAAATGCATAAATAATGTTTTGATATTTTAAACATAAAACATTGAAAACTGATGTTTGAAATTATTTAAAAAATGAAAAGGTACCTTAAATGTGAAATTAAAACCGCCAGTAGGTGGCAGCAAGTCACTATTAATAAGTGAGTCATTGCGATTGAACCGAATCATTTAAACGGTTGATTCATTCATGCTCAGAGACGCAAAACAGCGCTGTTGCTGTGTTTGAAATGATTTTTGTTGGAGAAATAGAGCAAAAACAGGAAATATGGTGTCTAAAACGTAAGTCTCTTAATATTAACTACTTGTTTATTGAACTGTTGTATAAAATCAATATCACATTTGTAATCATGCTTAATTCTGGAGAAAAACGGCACTCTTCGTGTGATATTAACTATATCAAATTATTTAAATATAAACATTTTCTGCTCCATATCTTAAATGATGTGATCATTCTAAATGCATTTTAATAGACTGATTCATGCAGTGAAAGAGTGCACTCTAAATGCGCACGCACACTAGTCTAACCTACTAGACTTCATCACCTAATGTATGCGCGCACTCTGTAGGTGTGTTTTGTGTTTGCTTTTCGCAATGTACTCATAATATCAAATCGCACATTTAAACAACAACAATGATATTATCGCAGACCATACATATCGCACACCCCCATGTTTAGAGCCTCTAGTGTCAGCTGCTAGTGTGCCTCTTGAGGCCAGGGGAGTGAGGTTTACCTGCACAGCTCTTTTACTAGATGGCCTCCAATACAGAAACAATTTGTTAGTACTCAGAATAGACTTTTGGGCAGCAGCTAACTGCTCTCTGACAATTATTGAAAGATTTGAATGATTTTGTTTTGTGCAAATCAGTAGGTTTAGAAAACAGAATGTCCTGACAACTTTGGTTAAACTATAAAAATATTCTTGTTATTTTCTCCCAAACCATTTTATTTGGAAAGTGTTTAAGGACATGTTCCTTTTCATCCTATAGGATTTAGAGGTAACTAACAATGCATAGAATTTTTTTTTTTAACTTTATTTATTTATTATTATTATTTATTTTTTGTTAAAAAATGTAAACAAATTTCCATAATCTGCATATTTGGATTAGAAGAGTTCATTGAAGCAAGAGATGTCAGGATGATAAAGCTTATCAAACATGGTAAACCAAAGCTCAAACATGCTTGCTTGATGCACAAGAACACTCGTGTGTTCTCATATCTCACATGGTTTGTTCTTGTGCTTCAAAAGGAAGTATGGTTGAGCTTCAGTTGACCATATTTGAGGTGCTTTATGTATGTTGATGTTATATGTAAATTAAAGCCTAAATTAAATTTTTGGGTGAACTGTACATTTAATGTAAAACAAATGAATTAAAGATTATAGCTATGAAAAGTCACCTTGTTTTTATTAACAAATATCATATTTCACATATCATATATCACATGCACACAGAACCTTCATAGATTTAGATTTGAGAATTATAATCTGTGCAGTAATACTGTATATTTTATCTGCAATGCTGAGTGATAGACCTGCAGTCTTCATTTAGGTTGATCTGAAAAATGATGAGAACGATGATTCAGGCGTACCTGTAAAAGACAGAGATCGATCACACTTGAATATTCAGTACAGCTTTTCAACTTGTTAAATCATACTGAAATCCTGCTGATTATGCCAAAAATGTATGACCGGATCTCCATGCCAGGAATACTGGACCTAGCCTCTTCCCATCAGAAGACTATGAACACAGTTTTGACTGATACCCAAAATCAGTTATCAAGGCTGTATTTTGAATTCAGTTAATACCCAAAACTGTATTAACTGAAAGTCACCAAGCAGCCTCAGAGGTTGACAAGGATGTCAAGAAAGAACAAAAAGCAGGAGATAAAGTGATGATTTTTTTCAGAGTGCAGGGTTTATTGAATAATCTTAGTTGTATGTGTTTCAATGCACAGACTTCATCTAAACTTCCTCCCTACTTTGTCTGGATATTGTCCTATACTTTGCCTGGGACTTTATCTATTGAGATCCTTCAAACTTAAATACAGGCCCAAATGTTTGTAATTGATTAGAAACAGGTAGATGGTAAGACCTGCTAAATGCCCGATGCACCTCTACCAGTGCCAAATTACCAGCCGCAGGGTCATCAGCCGGGAGCCATCTTTCAACGATGTTTCACCCCTTTAGTCCCAGAACATCTCAGGGTGGTGGGGAAGTGGACAGGAACATCTCCCTGACGCTCCCTGTGGCTAGAATTAGATCTCAGGTCCTTATGCCTTGAGGCTTCTCCACACCCCAGCTCTTATCATTCCTCCTCAGCCATAGCCAAATGCTTCCTTTCTCCGCCTCTTCGGCAAGGTCTATTACGGCCTTCCTGACCTCACCAGAGCTGAAGCCGATGTCCCTCAGGATGCGGCTGGTCAACTGGGCAACAAAGCCACGCCAGCCTATCTCCACTGGGCAAGTTGTTGCTCTCCATCCTTTTCCCTGGCACTCCGCTACCAGGTTAGCATACTGTGACTTTTTCCGCTCATATGCCACCTGTAGTGCTTCCTCCCAGGACACTGTCAGTTCCACTAGTACCACCTGTTTGCTCATCTCGGACCACACCACAAGGTCCGGTCTCAATGTGGTTTGCGCGATAGAAGCTGGTAATTGCAGCCACCTGTCCAGGTCTGCTCATAATGACCAGTCCATGCCACTGGCCAGGATTGATGCCTAGTGCTTAGGAGGGCATTTCTGCACTAACTGACCTACTCTTACAAATTGGATAGGCTGACTCTTAAGGCTCTGATTCTTCTTGTTTGCCATCGACCTTGCTCTTTCTGTGCATTTTGCCAGCTTCCTTAGCACCTGGTCATGACACCACCTGTAACAGCCCTGAGCCAAAGCAGTTTTGCACCCACACAGAATGCACAAGCCGCAGATTTCTTCAGCCTCAAACCACCATGCCAGGTTAACTGGGCTAGGAAGTGTGTTGTAGGTTGGTCTAATAACAAAACTGGGAATTCCCAGGGGCAAAGCTCGTCCTTGACTTTCTAACTATCTCAACCACCTCACTCAATTTGAGTGGTGCTACCTTAAAAGCATGGGAGTTTGTTTATCCAATCTACAAGTGTTTTTTGGATTTGTAGAGGCTTATGACCATGTTCCCCAGGATCACTCATGGGTGGCGCTCCGGGAGTATGGGGTGCCAGGGTCACTAATGCATGTTATCCGATCTCTATACAGCCGAGGTTAAAGCTGTGTTCACGTTCTCAGCAGTCAAACTTGTTCCCAGTGAGGGCTGGATTCCGCCAGGGCTGTTTGTTGTCACCAATCCTGTTTGTGATATTCATGAACAGGATCTCAAGGTAAAGCCGAGGGGTTGAAGGTGTCCATTTGGGGGTCTTGGGGTGGTATCTCTGCTATTTGTGAAGGCTGTCGTCCTGATGGCTTCATTGGGCATTTACTTGGGGGGTTTGTGTCCACTATATGTACAGCACTTTGGTCAACTAAAGTTGTTTTAAATGTGCTTTATTAAATAAATTGAACATTGAACATTGAGTGTAAAGCAGCAGGAATGAGAATCAGCACCTCCAAATCTGAAGCCATGGTTCTCAGACAGATAATGGTGGATTGACTGCTCCAGGTAGGGAGCGAGTTGCTTCCCCAAGTAGGGGAGTTCAAGTACCTCTGGGGCTTGTTCATGAGTGAGGTTAGGTTGGAGCATGAGATCAACAGGCGGATTGGAGCAGCAGTAGCAGTAATGCAGTCACCTGTGGACATGAGCCCTGGGTAATGGCCAAAAGAACGAGATCACGGGTACAAGTGGCTAAAATGCTGGTGCTTACCGAAAAAAATGATTTTTCAAATCCAGTGAATTCCCAGATTTAAATCCAGACTGATCAACCAAAGCAGTAATGTGAATGTCATAGCTTTGTCTATAAAAGAAGAGATTTACAGTTAGACAAAAAGTTGTTGCAAGGTTGTATGCTTCCAATATGTACAGTGGGTACGGAAAGTATTCAGACCCCCTTAAATTTTTCACTCTTTGTTATATTGCAACCATTTGCTAAAATCATTTAAGTTAATTTTTTTTCCTCATTAATGTACACACAGCACCCTATATTGACAGAAAAACACAGAATTGTTGACATTTTTGCAGATTTATTAAAAAAGAAAAACTGAAATATCACATGGTCCTAAGTATTCAGACCCTTTGCTCAGTATTTAGTAGAAGCACCCTTTTGATCTAATACAGCCATGAGTCTTTTTGGGAAAGATGCAACAAGTTTTGCACACCTGGATTTGGGGATCCTCTGCCATTCCTCCAAGTTGCAGATCCTCTCCAGTTCTGTCAGATTGGATGGTAAACGTTGGTGGACAGACATTTTTAGGTCTCTCCAGAGATGCACAATTGGGTTTAAGTCAGGGCTCTGGCTGGGCCATTCAAAAACAGTCACAGAGTTGTTGTGAAGCCACTCCTTCGTTATTTTAGCTGTGTGCTTAGGGTCATTGGCTTGTTGGAAGGTAAACCTTCGGCCCAGTCTGAGGTCCTGAGCACCCTGGAGAAGGTTTTCGTCCAGGATATCCCTGTACTTGGCCGCATTCATCTTTCCCTCAATTGCAACCAGTCGTCCTGTCCCTGCAGCTGAAAAACACCCCCACAGCATGATGCTGCCACCACCATGCTTCACTGTTGGGACTGTATTGGACAGGTGATGAGCAGTGCCTGGTTTTCTCCACACATACCGCTTAGAATTAAGGCCAAAAAGTTCTATCTTGGTCTCATCAGACCAGAGAATCTTATTTCTCACCATCTCACAACTCCATGCGGGCTTTCATGTGTCTTGCACGGAGGAGAGGCTTCCGTCGGGCCACTCTGCCATAAAGCCCCAACTGGTGGAGGGCTGCAGTGATGGTTGACTTTCTAAAACTTTCTCCCATCTCCCGACTGCATCTCTGGAGCTCAGCCACACTGATCTTTGGGTTCTTCTTTACCTCTCTCACCAAGGCTCTTCCCCCCCGATAGCTCAGTTTGGCCGGACGGCCAGCTCTAGGAAGGGTTCTGGTCATCCCAAACGTCTTCCATTTAAGGAATGGAGGCCACTGTGCTCTTGGGAACCTTAAGTGCAGCAGAAATTTTTTTGTAACCGTGGCCAGATCTGTGCCTTGCCACAATTATGTCTCTGAGCTCTTCAGGCAGTTCCTTTGACCTCATAATTCTCATTTGCTCTGACATGCACTGTGAGCTGTAAGGTCTTATATAGACAGGTGTGTGGCTTTCCTAATCAAGTCCAATCAGTATAATCAAACAAAGCTGGACTCAAATGAAGGTGTAGAACCATCTCAAGGATGATCAGAAGAAATGAACAGCACCTGAGTTAAATATATGAGCATCACAGCAAAGGGTCTGAATACTTAGGACCACGATATTTCAGTTTTTCTTTTTTAATAAATCTGCAAAAACGTCAACAATTCTGTTCCTGACTCTAAAAGTTTATGCATTCAATTAGGCTTGTAAACAATTACAAAAAGGGTGGATACTTTGAAGATGCTAAAATATAAGATGTTTGCGGTTTGTTTAAAACCTTTTCACCATATAGTTCCCATCCCCAACTCAAGTCTGTGTGTTGTTTGGTGACATGCAAAAATTGAGGCTTTGGCTTCTTTTGGAACAATTTATGAGTAGAAGAAATGAATGAACTCAACATTAAGTTACTCAACTAAATTATTTTGAAGCAAAAGGGAATGCAAAAACAATATTTGTTATATGGTTTCCTATTAGTAATCGACCGATATATTTTATAACCGATACCAATTATTTGCATGTTTATGTGCCCGATAACCGATATGCAGAACCAATATTTATTTACTGTTATAAAGTAAATAAATGACTGAGTGAAGTAAGTCCATACTTCACTTTGGCTTTTCCTCCTTTCAGTCATCTTAAAAAAAGTGTTGAAAATTAGGAGTCTTTCATGTTAAATTCAATCTTCACATTACAAAAATAAAAAAAACATTTTATTTAAAGCATCAGCAGCAACACTAATATTAACAATAAGCAAAATAAATGTAGAAGGTCTAATGTTTTCAAATGGAGAAAATAAATAATGGAAAGTAGTCATATCAACTTCATTTTAAACTACAGTTTTAGTAGGTTTATAAGCTG